TATATATATATATATAGCTAGATCTTGCAAGCAAAAATTGAATACAGTACTTATTTTTTTACGTTAACTAGATCTAAATAACAACCCAATTAAGTTAATTGGATTCTATTTCACATGTTACATGTACCAGAATAATGTAAAACGTTTTTTTCTTCTTTCGTTTCCGTTTATTGTAGCCTACCGTAGGCTACCGTTAACTTTTATGTTACTGCCTACGGTGTTGCAAAAGAGATACCCAGTAAGAAATTTTCTTTGTTAGCAGTGACATGGTTGGTAATGCATCGTGTGGAGATAAAGTACAAATAAAATATTTTGATACTTTTAAAGACAAATTAACATGGTACAAGCCATATTACTGAATAAATGACATTCTTTACATCTATACTTACAGTATTAAGATACGAACTGCATAGTATCAAGCAGGGGGTGATAAAATATTTCGACACCCATATATGACAATAAACATGGCGTCTTTCGCGGAGGAAATGAAAAAGTTTTTCAATAGCAATCCTCGAACACGAGATGTTCAAGCACATTCTGCAAAGGTTCACTCCGTCGCTTGGAGTTGCGATGGTAGGCGCCTTGCATCTGGCTCTTTCGACAAAACTGTCTGCATATACAATTTGGATAAAGACCGACTGGTAAGCTGGTTGCTCGGGCTCGGGCTCGGACCAGGTCTAGCCAAGCCGAGTTTCAGTTCTCTAGATCTACTCTAGAATCTAGACTTAGATCTAGAATCTAGATCTATATCATATCTAGATCTAGATCTAGTAGAGTTAGTAGCTTTGGCTTTGCTGTACTTTGTTGACAGTTGTTGATTTGGTTGCATAAATAATGCTTGCGTTCGGTTTCGAAGCAAGAAACAGAAAAAAAAGAGAGTAATGCTGGTGAACCCCTATGACTAAAAAAGAAAAAAGAAATATGCTCTTATTAGAGGTACCAGAAACTAAATTTTCAAACTAGATCTAGCTGTATGCCAAATTTATCAGTTCCATTTGAAAGGCCTATATCCACTGAGCATTTTGGTACCATTCTTTAACCTCTCCGTCAATTTTTAACTCATTCGCTACATATTATTTTCGGCTTGTAGACGAATTTCTTTCGGGAGGGCGAAATGAGATGATGACTAGTGCGCAGTTCACAGGTCTTGGTCTTGGGGGCCATAAATTCAAATAAATATCAACATATTATATACCAACATTTTCAGTATGGTTTGTAGAATACATCTGTAATGTTTATTTGAGTATTTTTCAACTTTGGTTCCTGTAAGAGGCGATTATGCAACACAATTGTGATTGGTTGCGGATAAAATTTGAAAACAAAAAATTTATAATCTCAGATGAAACTCAAAAAATATGTTTGCACCTAGATCTAGTCAAATTATACATCAAAATAACCATAACTGTATATAGAACAGGAGAATATTGAAAAATGAGCATTTATTTACATATCATATACATTCCATAATATTTGTACATTTGGATCGTAACCTCCGATATTGAAAAAAAAATAATTTTTAAATAATTTTGAAAAAAGGATCCCAAACAGAAAAAAACACTCGTATCTTATATGGAATTATTCAGAATTGCATTTGGAATAAACCTATACATGTCTTGGGTGGTACTCTTTGAGTAAATTCACCAAAAAGTAGTGATTTTTGGGAGAAAAAAAATATTTTGACTATTTAGATCTAGGCCTAGATCTAGCACTCAAAAATATTGATTTCTCAATTACAGTGCACTGGCAATTTGAGTCCAGTAGTATCAATATTATAAGTAGAGTCCTACACTTCTTTAGTGAGCAAAATAATTATACATTTTGTTGTGTAAAAGTACAAAGACTGGTGTCTGGCTATAATTTGGGCTTCGCGATAAAACAATGTCGCATAAACTTCGAAATCCTGTTTCAAAACTGAATCAAAACTTCCGATTTTCGGTGTAAACACTTGACCCGGAAGTCAACTTTATATTATGACCTTTATTTTAACATGGATATGTGGATTGGAATAGAAACCAAGCTAAAATTGAACGTCAGTTCTCGAGCCGCCGGGGGCGGCTTTGCGTACTAACGGCACTCAAGCCGCGCCGCCCCCCACGGCTCGGCGAAGCGAATGAGTTAAGAAAATTGTAGTTGTTTAAAATTTGATCAAATTTGTTAAGGCCACCTCTATTCTCACCCGGGATGAGAATAGTGCAGGCTAGTCTTTTGGCTATTCTCACCCGGTGCGCGTTCACTGTTATAGCCTAGATCTAGGCCAACAAATTTTGCGTTCACCCTAAACCACAGAATTCTACACTGTGATAACAGAAAAATTGTAGAATTCTGTCCGTTACAACTGTAGTCTGTAGCCTACTAAAAGCGTACAATTTTGTATGTAGGCAGTGGAGAGAGAGAAAGAGACAGAGAGAGGAGTAGCGTGAGAACTTCCGGTCAAAACAAAATGGCGACCCGCGTAGTTCTGCTCGATTCGAAAAGTTAAATAGCCGTAGCATCTTTGTAGACAACCAAATTAATTTACTTTTGTGTTTTAACATCATTTTTAAACTTTGTTTTGGTCAATTTGATCGTCCACACCGATAGACAGTATTCAGAAAGAGACAGAGAGAGAGAGAGAGGGGAGGAGTAGATCTTGCGAGAACTTCCGGGCAAAACAAAATGGCGACCCGCGTAGTTCGGCTCGATTCGAACAGTGAAATAGCCATAGCATCTTTGAAGACGATCAAATTAGCTTACTTTTGTGCTATAACGTAATTTTTTCTTGGCTTTTATCAATTTGATCATCCACACCGATAGACAGTATTCCAAAATGATGAAAAGCAGGTCTTGTTTCGCACCGGGTGAGAATAGCCTACGCTGGCAAGTCTCACCCGGGGTGAGAGGTAGATCGTTTTTCTATTCTCACCCCGGATGAGAATAGCCACTTCCATTTGTTAAAGTCAGTCACTGGCTGCAACCCCATGTTTGACAGACAATAAAAAAAGTACCAAGTGCACTAAACATCTCCACATTAACAGAGTACAATCACTATAACAAATATATGGAGCCTAATTTTTTTCAAGACTGTGAGATCTTTACAAATCAGTATTTTATCGCCTCAAACACGATGATCTGTCGTTATTTCGACAAAAACACCGAGCGTTGACCCGGCGGCGGCGCACCGGGCCCCGCGGCGAGCGAGTCGGCTCTATACTGTAGTGTACCCCGCGTGCGGGGTCACATGCTTTCTGAGTCTCGCGGAAGGATTGATGAAAAATAATTCCAATTTAATAACTTTATTCTAATAGAAAATGAACTGATCTTTTAATTGATATGTGTTATAAGTCGGTATTATACATATTTTGTGTAAAAAGGAATCTTTAAACATTTTGACGGTAATTTTAAAAGCTTTCTATAAAGACGCCAAAGGCTAAACTTATATCACGGGAAAGCCCGTTTAAAGCTCTACAGTTCTCCGCCAATGAAAAGGCGGTATTTAATCATCCCTCGTTCCGCGAAGCATTTGAATGCACGCGTGTCAATTTTTCAACCGGCCGACCACGCATTCCGACCGCGAGGGGCTTCGCTTTCGTTGGCGATTCTCCAGCTCCTACTAATCGGACATATAAACAACTTACACCATTGTAACGAGGAAAAGCTGAACTTTTACAAGGTGTACGGCATTTGGTGTTTTATGGCGAAAGAGCAAAGAAACAGCGATCGGAATTACCCCGATTTTACCGATACCGCGCGGTCGGAAGGCCGCGAATGCCCGCGAGGCCGTGTTTACGCTACCTACTCTTATCTTTGATTTGATCACGATTAGATCTAGATCTAATCTATGTCATGTTGACATGAGTAGTTGATCATGTGATGTAGCGGACACTGACTTTCCGATTCAGATCTCTCGCTGGCTGGTACCTCTTACAGTCACAGTAGTCACAGTCCCTTTCTCTCGTCACACACACACATACTCTCATTCACGTCCACACTTAACCCTAGGAGCGCTCAGCGTTTCATCGGTAGTAGATCTAAAACCTGCCAAATTGCTCTGCCACCACGGCCGATGGCGGATTTCACGGTAAGGGTTGAGAGACAACACAGGGTTTATTTTTAAAATAAAATTCTACTGTTGTACTGTTTTGTGCTCAACTTGTGTTGTTTTGATTGTTTATCTCACTCACTGCCAGGCATTTCTCGGCAGGATAACTGAAGAATGCCAGGCTTTCGGGACCTTTTTCAAAACCTCACTGTGAGCTTATTATTTTGTGTATGTACAGCATTGAACTTTTCCACAAACAATGACATTGAAACATACGATCAACAAATCAAAAAAAATTTTGTGATACCTCTACCGTGTGAAATTTTATGAGTTTGTGAATATGTGGCAAAATCGAGAAAAAAAACTTTTACATAAAATATTTAGGTGCTTGGTACATTCAGTCGATATATCATGCCTTTATATCTTTATCTCTGCAAGAAATATCTAGATTTTCTTTCAACTGACAAATGTTGAAGAGTCACTTTGAAAAGATATCTGACAAATTTTATATAACTGGAATATCATTTAATAAAAGTCATCAGTCCACCCACCCTAAGCATCAACATCTGGGTGTGTGGTTGCAGGACGGGGCATGGCCACTGGGGGAGGGGTGCCACTATTTGAAGTTTGTTGTGTGGACATAGGAGGGTCTATGTCAGCTGTATTCCTATCATTTGGGGTCTAAATCTACGTTGTGTGATCTTTGACGTTAGTGTGACGGGACCGGGAAGCATCGGATCATAGGTCTGAGCATGGGGAACACCCGATTCAGATCTAGGCCTAGATCTAGCACAATTTTCATCTTCACTTGAGTCCGCACCTCTCCTGTTTCCTTTCCTATACTCATTATCAACTCTGTATGATGGTTCATCATCACTGTCATCTGCAAAAAGATCTAAATCTGACCCTTTATTGACGAGTCCATCAATTCCAATGTTCCGACCTCGTTGAGACGCCGTCGCAATCGTAACTGATTGGCATGGTCTAAAATCATCAAAGAAAGCTTTGCCGTTGTTAAATCAGGCTGCCAACATAGTCTTAAATATCCCATGTTGTGATACGATGCTCTCATCTTGACACCCCATTTTTCGCAAAATCGAAAATGTACACCAAAATTTTAATTGTATAACAAAATAAATAGGAAATGGTTCTAAGTAAATCTGACTGCAGAAATGATTTCTCCACCCAAAAACACATTGGGTAGCCAGGTTTCTCTCTAACATAGCAATGACAATGAAAAATTAAATTTTTTATCCAAATTGCTTTAAAATGGGCTTAAATGAAAAAAACAGTTATTTCTAAGAGCTATGGTTTTTTAAAATTTTAAAATCCATTGATAAATAAAAATGTTAATGGGATTTTTGTTTGCAAAATTTTGGGGGACTTTAATATTGCCAAAAAGTTGGACATGTCTTGGTGTATTTTGAGGAAAAACTGTTAAAAGTCAGTAATGAATTGGAGTATATAAATGAAACTTGGCATCTTCATGTGATTTTTATTGCAGAATCTAGTTCTGCTATCACTTTTTCGATGTCCTTATTACTTTGGACCCGAAAGACTAATATTTGCGTGAAATTTGTTGAATTGCATGGACATCGTTTTTACTGCGACTGATCACCCATTCTAAAACTCAGTAAAGCGGTATCGGGAAAACCCGCAATGAAGTCGCGGGTGACCTATTTAGTTATAGGCAGCCAATCACATGCCGCCTAGCGATCACGCGTCTCTGGCATGCCGGCACCTCGCGTTTTGAATCTGTGATCTAGTTTCCAGCTTTAGTGTTTTATCAATGGATAGGTGGTAATTTTAAGTTGGTATGTAAAATGTACTACAAGCAGAGATCTGAAATTTTACAGCAATAAAGAAGACATGTGGGGCGCCTGTGTGGTCGGCGATCAACCCGCAGCTCCGCTTAGTTTTTCGAACCACATAGGAAAATCGCACACAAACACGGCAATTTCTCTGGTTCTAGAAATCGTTTGGGATTGTACGCTTGCATGTCGTTAGTTTAACCTTTCCTCTGATTGGTTGCCGAGTATCATTTATTTTCGTCAACGAGAGTCACCTCTGATCCCAAGCGGCCCAAAAATTACCCTTCGCTATGAGCTAGATTTCTGGCCCAAGGCGCCGCGGGCGATTGGCATTGCTGTCTAACACTCCAATTAATTACTGAGATATCGTCGATTGTCTTACAGAATCTGCTACTGCGTGGTTCACTTTTAGGAGTATTTTCCTTTATTGGGTCATCCATATTTTGCCGACCTTTACAACCCCATAACTTTTTTATTTATGAACCGATTTTTAAAATTCAAAAAGCATAATTATTCTCTTAGAAATGAAAACTCTTTCTCAGGTATCAAATAAAAAAATGATAAAGCGAAAAATTAAATTTTCATTGGAATTGCTAATATAGGGCCTGCGCGCTTCCCGGTCGAAGTTGGTCAGCACTATATAAAGGGCCTGTGCGCTTCCAGGGTTAAACAAACAATTCACACTCCAAATGGCCCAAATATAATAAATAATGCCCTATGCAGCCTCACACCGTCTTCGATCACATCCCTACTCACCCAGCACCCACCCTCACATGACTAGAGACTCAAAATTCAAGTAAGTAAGTTGTAGTGCCTACTCACACCGGGCTGGTAATGTGTGATGGTGTGTCTCGATATCGGCAGCATGAGATCACACTGTTCAGAGGTGAGCCTGATGGGCTCTTATCTTGCCCTATAACTCTTGATGATGTGTGTATTTTCCATCGTGTGTGCAGGGTGATTTGAATTTGAAACTATTGTGAGGAAAAGTTTGATCAGGCTTTTCCAGATGACCTGATTGACACATCTTAATAATAATAATAATAATAATAATAATTGCATTTATATAGCGCATATCCATGCTCAAGAGCATGTTCTATGCGCTTTACAACTATTATTACCCCAGCAGACCCTCTGCTGAGAGCACTCAGAAACTTTCTCAGCTTCCGTGGAAGCATACAGTGCAAGCTGCAGATTTCACGCGCTCAAACACTATCAAACTGACAAGATCTTTCACTGTCTATAGCTGGGTACCCATTTCCACCTGGGTGAAGTGGGGAAAATTTGTGCAAAGTGCCTTTCCCAAGGACACAACGTCGGGCCCCTGACGGGATTCGAACCCACGACTGTTTTTATTGCGAGTCCGAGAGCCTAACCACTAGGCGACCGACGACCCAATCTTTCATGGGGGTGTTCGAGTCGAGAAAACAGTGTTGACAATGCAAAGAAAACAATGCCAATTGCGCACTGCGCTCTAGGCTGGAAATGGGCTCTGCACAAGGGGTACTTTTTGGGTCATTTGGGTTCAGAGGTGGCTCTCTTCTAAAAGTATAGCTTCGGAAAAACCCATGGACGAAAATGAATGAAACATGGCAACCAACCAGAAGAAAGGTCAAACTTACATGATGAATGCAAGCAAAAAAATTTCTAGAACCGGAGAAGTTGCAGTGTATGTGATTTTTCCTCCATTGTTCAAAAACTAAAAGTACCTGCGGATTGGTTGCTGACCAAACAGGTGCCCTGTGTCTTCTTTATTTGCTGTAAAATTTCAGATCTCTGTGTTTAGTACATTTTATGTACCAACTTGAAATTACCACCCATTATGTGATATAATAGACTAGAGCTGGAAACTGGGTCACAAATTCAACACATAGCCTGCAGGCATGCGAGAGGCGCGTGATCGCTAGACGGCATGTAGTTGGCTGCCTAAAACTAAAACTAAATGGGTCACCAATGAATCCATTGCATGTTTTCCTGATACTGCTTTGTTATGTTGTAGAAGGGATGATCAGAGAACAACGTTGATTCTTTTCAGATCAAAGTTATATATCGAAATGTCGTTTTTGTACCAGGACGGACCAGGTAGAGTAAATTCGACTAATTTCTGTCAATGTGTTGAAAATTAGACCACCAAAGTAGTTTTTAAGAAAAGATGTGTTGAAAACTTATGAAGTTTTGTGGTGCCTCACAAGGCTGTGCCCCCTTTTGGTATCAGTTAAAGCGATGTCGCGCAAATCATCAAATTTTCATTCAGATATATTAGTCTTAAAGATTCAGAATAATAAAGACATTGAAAGAGTGATAGCAGAACTAAATTCTGCTTTAAATAAATCTCGTGAAGATGCCAAGTTTCGTATCGTACTCCAATTCATTATTGACTTTCATGAACGTTTTCCTTCAAAATGTACTAGATGTATCAAGAAACATCCCACTTTTTAATGATAATTTAAAATCTAAATATAATGTGATTTATCGAACATTTTAAAAATGTGAAATGGAAATTATCTATTTTGTGTAGATCTATAATCTGTTTCTTTCTTTTAAAAAAAAAATTCAATAGTACTAGCACATGAAACTTGGTTACTGCTCTCCTCTACCATTTCTTTGCAACTCATTTCTGTCTTCTACCCACCCTTTGTTGTCTTCTTGTCCCAAAGTAAAGCCCTCTACCTAAATCATGATCTCCCCTCTGTCACTAGTTAAAAGTAAGACAAGGAAAGATAATGTGATTATGATTTGGTGATAAAAATCAGTCCTTTCTGTTTTTATTGGTTTCATTGATGCAAGAGAGACTTGTGTGGCATTTTCTTCCAGACCAAAGACTACACTGTGTTCAGGGGCCATGGTGCTAGCGTTGATCAACTTTGTTGGAATCCTCAAAATCCAGACCAGTTGGCAACTGCCAGTGGAGACAAGACCGTTCGTGTCTGGGATGCAAGAACAAATAAGGCAGCAGCCAGTATTAACACAAAAGGTTTGCAAGTTAATAGTTAATTCATAAACTACCATCAGGACACTTCCGTTAAATGTTTTATAAAGTTATATTGCTGATATATATAGAGTAGATATATATTGCCATTGTCATCATAAATTTTCCCCTTTATAAAGTTAAAAATGCTTTTAAAATCTGCTGTCTGGGTGGTTGGCAGGTTCTTTGGTGTGGTTTGCTCCCCTTCTTTCCTGTCAAACATCTTTCATCCTTAAATCTCTTCTGTTTCTTTTCTTTGTACTTTACTCTGTTGTAACACCTCTACTCTTTGCACTTTTACCCCATATATGTGTTGCAAGTGCCACAAGACTTGCTAAAACTAAAGCCTACTGCCCCTGTTACATTACATGCATGCCAAGAATGTTTTTGTTAGTATTCAAACTAATCTACTGTATTAAAGTTCTCTTAGGAGAGTGTGAGCCACCAAGGGTTTCTTTTAAGTGGATGGCATAGATCTAGTTCTTGTGTGCACTAAAAAAAATCATGATGAGTGCATTTATAAATTGCCCTCTTTTGGGATCCGAATGCTGTAATGGGAAAAAATAATAAAATGTGCTACTTTTGTATGCTTCATTTATTTGATTTGTCATGAGATTGCTCTAGCTTTCTTCTTTGCATGACCTACTTGGATGTCATTGTCTACTACTTACAAGGCCAAACTTGCAGTTCTATTAGCATTGGTTCTATTTTAGCTCCCCAGATGGGGTGTATTCCCCTTGGAATGTTTTCCCTCATTTTCCTGAGACGGAAATAAAAACTTGTCTGTGAAAGACACATGGCTACCACACATCTCTTCGCTGAATTCTCTTCTTTCAGGCCTTTCTCAATACAGAAAATACAGAATGGGATTGTTTTCTTGCTTCTTCTATTTGTTTTTAGAGTTCAGAATGCTGTCAAGAAGTTTTAAACCCCTTCCCCCTTCCCCAAAGAAAAAAAAAGGCAAGCATAAACCAAAGAATGAGGCTGAAAAGATTACCCAGGACAGAGATAAATGGAATGAACTTGTATGTGGCCAATACCCTGCCAGGGGTGGAAGGCATTGATGATGATAATGAGTATACCAAGGCAAGCTCACTTTGAGCTTATCTTCTAATCAGTTAATCTCATGAGGAAAAAGGATAGACCAGATAGACAGACTGTGAAAATGGCCATATACCAGAATAAGATATGAGATGTAGTTTTAATCTGTCTTTAACAAACTAAGACAAACGTTTGCTTGGTACGCATTTTCTGCAAGAGATCTTGTGGTCCAGGCAATCACGGCTCAGTGGGGCTGTCATGTCCTTGTCCTTTTTATGTCTTGGGAATTCACCACACCTGTACTCACATATGTTTGAATGAGTTTATAATTAGTTCATGTATGACTTCAAATTTTTGTTGTTTTTCTTTTGATACAGGTGAGAACATAAACATATGTTGGTCACCAGATGGGAGTACCATTGCAGTTGGTAACAAAGATGATCTGGTGACTTTCATCGATGCAAAATCTCATAGATCTCGGGCAGAGGAACAGTTCAAGTTTGAAGTCAATGAGATTTCATGGAACAACGATGGGGATCTCTTTTTCTTGACCAGTGGTCACGGCAGCATTCACATTTTCAGGTGTGCATTATTGTGTCTGTTGTTGTATTTTATTATTTTATGTTAGTGATTTGCTCTTAGATTTAATGAGTTTAAACATCAGCTTAGCATTTATTTTATTAATGCAAAGAGTTAAATTAACCGTCAAAGTGTCCAACTCTATATCGTCGGCCTAGTGATAAAACCGACTAACCCACAAAATTTCAAAAAATTTTTTTATTGGCCCTATCGATAGTAAATTGTCCATTTCATATGCTCACTCAAAGACAGATCATAATTTTGTGTAGAAATGCCTTTAAAACATCAGAAATAAAACCGTATAACCCGGCACCCATCGCATTTTAGCCCGATAATTCCGACTATCCCACCTGCGAGGGGGGGAATGAGGGTTGGCTGTTTTTGTCGCGCTAACAATGAGGGGCCACGTGCTACGTTACCGACTAACCCGGCTTCGACTCGTCTCCGGACTTCGTTTGACATCAGATTCAGACCTGTAATAGTCCAGAATTCGCTCACTTAACCGTGGGAGCTCTC